CGTCAGGCAAAGATTCGCCTAGAGCCTTGAAAAAGACTGCTTGTTGAGACTGCTGTCAGCGAGCACCTATTGTGAAAACCGCCTGGCACGCGAGGTGGGTGATGTGACCAGCACCACGCCCGGCCGCCTTTGTCTCTCCCCCACCCCCCCCCCCCCCCCAGTGCTGATATTCACATCCAACCATCAGGAAGTCAGTTAAGGCCGAGTTAGTAGGGCTACAGGGGTAGACCTAGGACCGATTTAGATACTCGCCGCCGCTGATGATGATGATGCCCGTGGGTGAGACTCGAAGTCAGGTGACTGACTGTGTTCGTAGCGCAGCAAGCTAACAACTACACAGACAAAGCTCCCCCGTATGGCATTAACAATCTTTCGGGGGCAAGTGCTGCTGGCGAACACCTACGAAGGCCCACTGAACCACCGCTGGCACACAAAGACAAAGATCCCCCGTGTGGCCTTCAACAGACTGGTGGTGGGTAGGGCAGCACCACCACGCCCGGCCGCCTTTGTCTCCCCAGTGGTGATGTTTAGGCTGAGTCGACCTCGCGTGCCGTGCCGGCCTTTATCGGTTCTCGGTAACAGCACTTGCCCTAAAAGTTTGTTTAGGCTATACGGGTTATCTTTGTCTATATTATCAGTGCCACGTGTGTGTGTGTGTAAGCGTGTGTTCTGTATGTGTGTCCGTGTGCGTGTGTGTATTAAACAAATATACAGACAACGACCCCCGTATAGCCTTAACAGACTGTTGGGGCAAGTGCTGTTATTGAGCACCTATGAAGGCCAGCACGGCACACGAGGGGGTGGGTGGCCAGCACCACGCCCGGCCGCCCTTTATCTCCCTAGTGGCGATGTTTACACACCGCACGAGGTACTCATTTGAGGCTGAGTCGACCTAGGGGAGGCCCAGGACCGCTCCAATGCACACACACTCTCACACGAGGTGTTACGCAAATGAGCCCGTAACATCATAATGCAGTCCTACTCAGAAAAATTTGCCTATTTGAGTCGAGGCGAGCGTCCAAGAAGGCATGAATTTAAATGTGTTCCTCCTTATTGATTTGCAAGTAGAGCATAATACGAGTATCATGCGAATATTGGACTCGTACAAACTGTGTGTGTCAGTCATTCCGCTGATGACTCGAGACTGAATTCAGTGTAAAGGAAGAGCGATTCACCAGAAATGAAAATCAGTGGGGGAAAAAAACTAAATTTTTTATAAAATGCGAGATTATTTCATTTGCGTAGCTAATCTGAAGAGCGGCAATAACACTAATAATCGTTTAGCACCTCCGATTCGCACGGTTGGCTATGTATGGTGCGAAAGAAGTTCAACACACACGCAACTTGTTGGCGTTAATTGCTCGAGAGAGACTCCTATTGACAGCTGGGTTGAATGGCATGTTTGTAAATAATCAACTTCGTAATTGTTATTACCATCACCAGCAAAATGATCATAATTCAACTATTGATGACGTTAGATACGCGTGTGTGTGTCCGTCATTCTTTAACTCCATTACCAAGAGGAATATATACAAACAAATGTATTCTATACAGTATACATATACATCATCTGAATATTTAGTTATAGTAGAGAAATCCGATGAGCTATGAAGTTCGTTTTTTTACAGATGTCATGGCCACTTGGAAGTGACATCATCATCAACAATAACAAACACAAGGACATACATAGCACCACGCATGAAGACACAGCATCTCTCCTATAATAATAATCGTCATCATCATCCTTACAGGCTGCGAGGGTAAGCAAATGTTTGCGAGCGCCTATTAATACCGGCGGAGTTTGGGCACGGACGACGACGAGGGTTTGGGAACAGACCCGCGGCACCTCGTCACCCCTCGCCGACTCACGTTGGCGCACAGCCGTCGACGTTCAGGCCGAGCGGACCAAGGGGAGAGCCGAGCCCGATTCAGACGCCATCCATCGCGGGTTCGTGCGCCCATCACCGACCACAGGAATCGGTCTGACGAGAGCGAGACAGGCGGCATCGCGGAATCCCTGAATCGTTTATTCTGCCGCGGAGCTCTGAGCGATGGTGTTGCTCCGATGGATTTTCTTCGCTCGCCGCTCCGTATTTGTGTTCTCGCCGCGCGATGCACGAACGGAATGTTGCTAACGTGTCGGGAGCCAGGCACCACCCCCTCCCCTCTTGAGTACGAGTCTTGAGACTCCTTCTGTGGGTGTACACGGAGGGCGTTGTTGTTGTTTTTAAAGGGGGGATGAGTTCGATGAACGGACGCAACGGGTGCTGTTAGTGGAGAGCGACGCGTGAAAGGTTCGCCGTACCCACCCTGGCACTGCCGCATTGACCAAAGACACACACAGACACACACACAGTAGCAGCAGCAGCAGTGGATAGAAAATGGATGAAGCGATGTAACCGATGGATTTGTTTCCGGTATCATCCATTGACACTTGCTGGACTGGGGATACGGCCGGAAAAGAAATATTTAAAAAAATCGTGCGGAGTTTTTTTGGACCAGGTGTCCTTCTCGAATGCGTCGTGGGGTTTCAGGTTGGTACTCCGGTTTAATCCAACGTGAAACCAAATTACTTAATTAGAAGCAAATGGACGAATATATCAATCATAACACTCGCGTTTGGAGGAAGAAAAAAGAGATCAACGTATCAAAACGTACGATATGCAGCAGGACCATTCTTCAAAAATAGTGTCAAGTTTCGGTGTAGTGCAGACTTGCTATGGCTAAGTCTTAGTATGGCTACGGTACTCGGCATGGCTAAAACTAGGCATGTCTAAGTCTATCTATGGCTAAGTCTCGCTATGGCCAAGTCTCGCTATGACCAAGTCTCGCTATGGCCAAGTCTCTCTATGGCTAAGACTGTGATCATCATTGTAATCGCAGAACCGTGAGCGATGGCAACAGCTTGGGGGGTGGGGGGTGGGTTGGGTAGGGTTCCATCCAGCAGTGGATTGACGATAGTTAATGAGGATGACCACCACCACCACCATCATCGTCGTCGTCGTCGCTTGAGTCCCACCTGCGACACTGCAGGCTGGCGACTGCGCAGTCCGCTTCACGCGCAACGCCGAGGATGGAGCCAGCGGCTCCGCGCGCGGCACGGCGGCGGTGGTGGTGGAGGGGATGAGGACGGGTGACAGGGCCGGCAGGGTTTGGATAGCGAGGGGTGGTGGTGGTGGGGGGTGGTGAGCGTGGGGTGTGTGTGGGGGGGTAAGCCACCCTCCAGCATCACCACCCTCCCCGCCCTCTCCGCCGCGTCGTCCAATGATAGGAGCCCGAGCCGCGCACGCCGAGACCGACTCGCGTGGTCACCGGAGCAGAGAGCTCGGCACGGATTGGCGGGGACGTGGGGGCCCCGGGGCGGGAGGGATCAGGGACCCCCGATATAGGGGCCCTGGGCACGACCAGGCCGGCCGAGTAGGCGTTCCGACGCCGTAGGGGGAAGCGACTTTTTTTTGGCTTCCCCGAAAAAAAAATTGGGCCCGAGATCGCTCTGAAAATTCTGCTCCGTTCTTCACGCATCTCGCTTTCTGAGCTTGTAACGAAGTCTCTCTCTCACCCTCTCCCTTCTCCCTGTGTGTATTTTTTTTCTTGTTTAAAATAATTTATTTCTTAGATTTTTTGTCGTTGTTGTTAGCCGAAGCCAGGGTCTCGAATCCAACGGGAACTTCGAGGCGAGGGAGACGACGAAATTGCGAAAATATCGGAGCAACGTGCGAGGGAGTTGGCCGGCGCGGGAGGGACGCAGAGAAGAGTGTTGGAGGCGTTCCGGATGAGAGAGACAGAGACAGAGAGAGAGAGAGATTACTCTTGACCATCGAGCCAAGCCTGCGTTGGAATTCTAAGCGTCCACACAACTCTTGGGAATCTCGCCAGAATTTTTAAATTTTCTATTTGTATACAGTATACATATTCCTTCCCAGCCTGCCTCCTCTCCCAGCCCACACCGCCTCCCCTCCCGCTCTCAACCCCCCCCCACCCACAATCATCCTCAAACCCCGTACTGACCGATCCTCCATCCTATTTGCATCCGAGTTCAAAATTGAACGGAGTGATTTCGACGCCAGTAAATAGAACACACCACTGATAATGATGCCACCGCTGCAGCTAGCTGCTAGCGCGTCCGATTAATGTCGAGGGAGGAGGTGGGGTGAGACGTGAATCAGAGGCGCGGTTGAGAGAGAGAGAGAAAACGAGAGAGAGCCCTTTGCGCAATTGCAGAGTCGCGTGCAAGAAGCAGATCATCATCGTCGTCGTCGTCATCACCGGGCGAGCGGAGGAGGCTCCTCGACACCATCTCTTTCGTAACCCTTCAAACTCCACCGCACGCGGACGTGCGTTCTCTCGCTCGAGTTGCTCGAGAGGTCCCCGGTCGACAACTCTCGCTTTGGGCAAAAAAGTAAAAAAGTAAAAAAACTATTTTTCATTAAAAAATTTACGGTAAATCCACCGAGAGAGAAACGACGACGAGAAACTTTCCCGGCGTCGGTCTGAGACGAGCGAACCTCAAGCGACTCGGCCCCGAGCGCGCCGAAGTTTTCCCCTGCGACTTGCCACGACTCCACGTCCGCCTCGACCCCCCTCGTGCGCTTCCCTCCAACGGCGCCACGCGAATCGACGAGGGCCGTGACAGCCACCACCGCCGCCACCGCACGTGTCAAGTAACCCACGAGCGCAGTTGCTTTGCGCGTCTGCTGTTAAACATGGGCCTTTCTTCGCTCATAGTTGTATCATCGTCGCCATCAGCAGCAGCAGCAGCGTCATCATCATCATTGTCGTCGTCATCCTCGCCGCTACTTCCACCACCGCTACTGCTGCTACTACTGCTGCACGTCTGACAAGTCCCGAGCGATCCGACGAACCACGGGTGGGTTGACGCACGCGAGGCGCTCGTACGAACACTAGACACGTGCCGCAACATCAATAACAACAACAGCAACAACAACAGCAACAACAACAAGAGCCGCTACAATCATCCTCCGCCGTTCCCGCTTCTCGCGATGAGCGTCGCTGGCGGCTTCTCGCAGCCGGCGTCTGTGCTGCCGCACGAGGCGATGTACGGAGGCTTCGCGCCCGCGGCTCGCCTCGCTCTGCAGGGACACCCACCGTCGCCCCCGCTCCCCGCGCCCTCCTACCTGCACTCGTGGATTCTCGGCCACCCAGGCGGCGGTGGAGGCGCCGAGTACTCGTCGGGACCGCCTGCTGTCCTGCAGCAGTTGCAGCAGCAGCAGCAGCAACAGCAGCAGCTGCAGCAGTTGACGCAGCAGCAGCAGCAACATTCACGAATCGCGCAGCAGCAGCAGCAGCAGCGCACGGCCGTGACGACGCACAGCTGCGTGTACGGCTCAAGCCCTGAGCGGCCAGACTTGGACAGCCAACACCATCATCATCACCACCACCACCATCAGCAGCAGCAGCATCATCATGAACAGCACCAGCATCATCAGCACCCGCAGCAGCATCCGCAGCAGCAGCAGCAGCAGCACGGGGAGGCGCTTCTGCAACAGGAGGGAGGGGAGGCCGTCGCTGCTGCAGGCCGCGGGTCCCGTACTGCCCGCCCGTGAAGCGGCGAGGAACCGCGAATCGCAAGGAACGGCGGAGGACATTGAGCATCAACAGCGCCTTCGCCGAGCTACGGTACGTGGGGTCATCGCCGCCATCAGCAGAGTCATCATCGTCGTGATGGTCATCGTCATCATCATCATCAGGGTCCTAGATTTGAAGCTTTCGTGACTGCAAGGATTCATACTCTTAGTTCTTTCGGTAAAGTCACGTAGGTAAAAAATGAATTAAAAAAATGAAATTATTTTTTATATCATTTTTTCCTACGTGACTTTACCGAAATAACTAAGAGTATCGTCAGGGTCGTCATCGTCAGCATTTACCGACGAGTCTATGTACGAAATGTATCTGTCATTTCGACTCTCCGCACGTCCTCATACAGCTCCCCTCTCATCTCACTCGACTCGCAATCCCTTCCACGCGTTCCCTTACCTCTCCCCTCTCATCTCACTCCACTCGCAATCCCCCCCCTACGCGCTCTCCTACCTCTGCCCTCTCATCTAACTGTGCTGCTTACCAGACCGGACCGGTTGGTGAGTTCACTATCACAGGACCTCCCTACAGCATTTTCATAAAAAAATCGGCTCCAGCCCGCAATGTTGTAAATCAACACCATCGCCATCACCACCATTATCACCACCATCATCATCACCATCACCACCACCATCACATTGATTGTCGTGTGGTTTAGCAAGCGCACCGCTGCAGCACAACAACAATAACACGACTTCTTTCGCACCGTACGCACCGATCTCGGCTAACGCGTACTGCGCGAAATAAGTTCAGCGTACATACTACGGGTGTGAGAGTGAAGTGCGTTGCATTGCTTACCAATTGTCAGCCACGACTGATTGGAAATTGAAGATGAATACCCGATACCGCAGGTGGGGACCAATCTTACTTACGCAAAACAAAACGCAAATACAGATTCGCGATCCGCGTGCGCGCGTGTGTGTTGAACTTCTCTCGCACCGTACGTAGCCAACAGTGCTTATCGGAGGTGCGGGATTATAGAGAACGGGCAATCTTCACCGATTGCTGATCGTGATCATAACGACGACGGTGATGATAACGACGGTTGATTGTATCGATGATCTCGAATAGTAAGGTTGTTTACATATATATACCGTTACAAATCACATCACGCCGCCACCATCACCACCACCATCGTTATCATCTCTCAAACGACGCATACCGGACACGACAAACGGAATTAGGTACGGGGTGATCCATTTATAGACACCTCTCCACCATCACCACCAGTGATACAAAATAAGGGGAGCTTATGGGTTTAACCATATGTGTGTGTGTGCGTCTAAGTCGATGTGTTTCTATGTGTGTGGGTCGATGTCTGTGTGTAAGTCCACGTGTGTGTGTCTGCCTTTTTCGCCCGGGCAACGCCGGTTACTTACCGCTAGTACTAAACAAGGGGAGCTTATGGAGAAAACGGCGCAACGTTGTTGTCGCAAAGCCCCCTGTTCACACACGTTTCCCAACAATCTCAACACCGGTTTGGGGGTGAGTGGTGTGCAGGGTACATCACTGGGGTGTGTGCGGATGGATCAGCCGGTACGCTAGACTGATACATCTTGACTTGAAGCATTTCGTGACTGCAATGAATCCATATTCTTTGGGTCTTTCGGTAATGCCACGTAGATAGGAAAAATAATAATAACAACAATATTAGACGGAGAACTTCGCACGCGTGTTCCTGCACGAGGCAGCCGGGCTCTGATACGAGTCTCTAAACCGCCCTAACCACAAACGAGGCATTGGGGAGGGGGGAGAGAAGCGATTTAATCCCCTGCGAAGCGAACAGCTGTTTAGCGATAGCGACGCGAATATCATTAGAATCAGACATAGATCAATCGATTTAAAGCTTTCGTGACTGCAGGGATTCATCTTCTTGGTTCTTTCGGTAAAGTCACGTAGACACTGTCTTCCCGACAAACCTGTTCTTCACCTGAGGACGGCTCCTTGCGTTGTGGCCGAAACGTCGTGAGAATTACTTTATTATGTTTTATTTTTATTATTTTATTATTTCTATTCTATGTGACTTTACCGAAAGAACCAAGAAGATAGATCAATCGATCGAGATATTAAAAGCGTAGCACAATAATCACAATCAATCGACAGCTCTTTGCAAATCCACTGCTGCATGGTCGCCTGTTCACGGCGTGGTGTTGGTCACGTGGGGTTGCTCGAGCCATGCTTTACCAAGCTGGTGCGACTCACCTTGACACCTGGAGGGTCAACGTGACCCCCTCCCGCCTCCCTCCCCCCGGCCCCCTCCCCTCCACTCTAGGGATGTGGTCAGCGACAGGACCGAGCCGCAGTTGTCCACGAGTGACCTCTGACCGGCCTCGCCAGTTGCCCTCAGGGCTCCTCTGTCCACACAGCTGACGACTAAGTGACTGGCCCCTGACTCGGCACGATTTTCATAATTAATCTGTACTAGAGGGGGGCTTTCTTCTTGTTGTTGCAGATTGTAAATGTTGTGGCCTGGCTCTCCAACACACCGGTGTTGCTGTACTAGTATACTACACTATACACTACACTACTATACACTAGTGCTGTACTAGTATACTACACTATACACTACACTATACACTACACTATACACTACACTATACACTACACTACACTACACTACACTATACACTGCTATACACTACACTATACACTACTATACACTACACTATACCCTATTATACACTACACTATACACTACACTACACGCTAGTGCTGTACTAGTGACGAAATGGCATGTTCTGTTTACGTGACAAACCTCACTAGTTGGCTGTGTCGGGTGGTGGCGGGTTTTAACGACACATTCATATATTTACGCGATCTAACCCAAGAAACTATTATGGATGATATTGGTCGCGAAAGCCTGCTACGTGTTAGCCCAATAATCTGTACATTTGGGACTTCTTTTCGTACCGCACGTAGCCAACCGTGCTACTCGGAGGTGCGGGTAATTTGGATGAGGATCTCCCCGTGACCACACTTCACTATTATGTGAGAGCCACGGTGGCTGCGAGATGTTTACTACCTCGCCTGGTACATAGGAGGTCCTGGGTTCGCCCCAAAAAACGGGCACATCACCCCAATATTTTAGTGGACACAGAAGTTTGATAGGAAGGACCTCCAACCCCCCCCCCCCTCATCCACCCCTGAATTGTCCATTTTGCCCCGCTATATTGTACAGTGTACTACAAATCAACGCATAGTTTAGTCGTTTAAATATCGATGGGTAGCATGGTACAGTATAGAGCAATACCCGCGTGTACGTCTTCCCCCTCTTACGACGTTTCGCAAATCCGTCGTCACTTCGTGAGCGTCGCTACGCTGGTTCGCGTCGCCTCCGTCGCCCACCCCGTAAATAAATCGCCCTCTGATCGACGTCGTTTCGTTCACGCGCCGTCGTAGGAACGAATCCGCCGACGTAAAGCGGGGGTGTTACCGTCGTAAATCGGGGTGTTACCGTCGTAAAACGGGGGTGTTTCCGTCGTAAATCGGGGTGTTGCCGTCGTAAAGCGGGGCTGTCGCCGTCACGGAATTACGGATGCCGCGGGTGCTTGGGGGGGGTGATAATTAAATCCGAGACCCCAAATGTTCATGCTCACGACCCATCGGGGGGCTCCTGCGTCGTTCGCTGTGAATCCGTTGCTGTGATGAACTCACTTTCCTGTGGAGATGCGGTAATGTATGTCCTGTTTCCGTATGCGATTATATAAACTGCAGTGTAGTGGGTTGCACGCTGCGTTATGAACCCCGTGAAAACCCAGTTCGATTCCAGCTCACGGCCATCAACACCGATGACGATTGTCTGAACCGGTCATGGGCCTCCCCTAGGTCGACTCAGCCTTAAAATGAGTACCTGGTGCGGCGTGCAAACATCGCCACTGGGGAGACAAAGGCGGCCGCGCGTAGTGCTGGTCACCCATAGGTGCTCGCTAACAGCACTTGTCCCAACAGTCTGTTGAGGTTATATGGAGGATCTTTGTTTTTTGATTTTGTATATATATGATAGTGTATATGTATCATTACTGCAATGTATATATGTAATTAGTAAGCGATATGCGTAAGCTTCGGGATATATATTTTTTAAACAAGGCCAATCATCCGAAACGTCGAAACGACCTATTTTTCTGTGAAGTAAGAATCAGGAATATAACTTGGCATTAACGTCATCGTATATACTATATATTTAATTCGGTTAGCTCAATCTGCAAGTTTACACTGCAGAGGCTACACATTCGTGCGTTTAATAACGGAGTTGGCGCGTTGTGGCACAACTGATGTGCATTTATCTTTTAAATTGGTCGGTAAAAAACAACTTTCATCCTGTCACCAACACGCGTGTATTCACACGTGGTTGTGTAACGGAGATATAGATACTCTAGGAAGTGTTACATGCGGCGTATTTGCATAATATGTATATATATATACATTCAAGTAATGTATATAGATATATGTCATGCATTCAGTCACTAGTCTGATGTATAATTCAAACGTATACGCGCACCGCCTATGTTACCACTTGTAGCTGAGTGCTGAAACATCACGCGTACACACACACGCACACACACACGCACACACACAGTACACACACACACACGCACACACACACACACATGCGATTTGTATTTTTGACGATTGTCGTGGCTTTAACCGCTCTTAACAGCAGCGACCAGCGCTTAGCGCATACGGGGTGAAGTATGGTCGTCACACAACCCTCCCTCCACACGATGATTGACGGGGCGTGGGCATGGAGGCCTTCATCTAGCAGTGGATTAACAATGGGGGGGGGGGGGGGTGGAGTGGCTGTAACTTAACTTGGTAGTTACAGAGACGCGTGTCACCTCTTTGCCTGTCCGTGCAACTCGACGCGTTTTATTTTCGGATGTTTGCGAGAGTGGAATCGTGTTGTGTGTGCGGTGTGTGCGCGTGTGTGTTGGTGTGCGCGGTGTGTGTGTGTTAGTGTGTGCGGTGTGTGCGCGTGTGTGTTGGTGTGCGCGTGTGTGTTGGTGTGTGTCAGTGTGTGTGTTGGTGTGTGTCAGTGTGTGTCT